CCGCACCCCCGGCCGGGGCCCATGCGGCGGGTGCTCCTGCTGTGAGAAGCCCCGCCCGGCCGGGCTCCGCGCCTTCCCTTTCCTCCCTTCCTCCAAGCTTCTCGGTTCCCTCCCCTGAGGTACCGGCGCCATGTCCAGCGCCCGGACCCCCCTACCCACGCTGAACGAGAGGGACACGGAGCAGGTAAGGAGCCCCGAGGGCTCCCCGAATTCTCTGGCTGGGCCCCCTGCACCTTGCGGAGCCTCCTCCCTCTGCTCTCCTACTGCCATCCCGCAGACCTCGGCTGCCCTGTCATCTGGCTACTGTCCCCGCACATCACCTTTGCGAGTCTTGACCCGGGACCCACCTTGTCCTGACTCGGAGCTGCACACTTGTCTTTCTGCCAACTCCCCTCTCCCCTCACCGCCCTCCTGCTCTCTTCCGTGTTACCTCCCCAGCCTCCCCTTCTCTTCCCCTTTTTCCTCCCCTTCTCTCAGGGGCCTTTCTGGTCTTCTTCCACCCACGCTCCGAGTAGCCACCCTCCCGCTCCTCGAATAACATCCCGCGATTTGCCACGGATGGGTGTCCACCTCTTCCTGCCTCTCCTCTAGCCTTGCTCCCCCGTCGCCCGCACCGGTTCTCCCGGTCCTCGGTTATCGCCCTCGGGGTCTTTGCCCGGGAGTGTGTTTTCGATACCCCGTCCCCCTTTCACTTTCCCAGCGGCTTTTTCTACCCTGTTTCGTTCCAAATCGGGCTCTCCCTCTTGCTTGCAACCCACCCGCTCCTCCCTCATCCCCTTTCCAAATCGTGCGCCTACTCTTTTTGCTCATCACTTTCCCTTCTTTTCGCCAAGAGCTAGCTAGCTCCCTGGTTCCCGGAGCTGGCATGTGTGTCGCTTCCGCGTTTCCCATATAGCTGCCATGCGCATAGTTTTCCCACAGGTTGCTTTTGGGGATTCAGTCACCACTGCCTCGGAGTCTTTGGATCCTACTTCTTCTCCCCCCCTCCCTCCCCCACCTTCCCCTTGGGGTTTGGCTTTTAAGTTTCTGAGCCTCCTGGGGTTCCCTCCCCCACCCCCCCCCGCTGTGAGTGTTCAACCAGCTTTTCCTTGGGCTCAAACTCGGTCGTCTTGTTGGAAAAAAGAAGCTGTTGTAGTCTTGCTGTATTCACCTAACCTGTTGCTCAGTCCTGCCCCCGCCGCACTGTATCACCATCTCTACCTGCCTTTCTGCCTTCTCACGCTGCAATACAAAGCAGGATGCTTTCTGTCTCTCTTCAACAGTGGCTGTCACTTCTCTTAGTGTCTTCCTCCTTGCTTGCTGCTTCCTGTTGCTCAACCTTACCCTGTCTTCCTTACTATGCTTCTTAATCAGTGCTGCCTTTCGTGTCCAATGAGTCTCCTGTCCTCTGCACAGTATATAGTTCCCCCGCCACCCTCCAGTCCATTCCCTTCCTATTGGCTAGTGTTTGTGATTCCCAGGAAATCCACGCATTTTGCACGTGCATTTCTTCCACTGCTGGTCAGCCTCAGAATTCTACAGGTTCACTCTCTCCCAACCTGGCAATCAGTGCTTACACTTGTCACCCAAGCCTTTGCCTTTTCTGTCATCATCTGGCCTCAGCCCAGAGGCATCCACTTTCCATCCCTCCCTTTCCTTTCACCCTCTCCCCTGCCTATCTGAACTTTCTTGGTGAACTTTACTAGGCTAAATAAATAAATGCACCTTGTCCAGAAAAAGAGACTTCTACCCTGAGGCTGCAGTGCTTTTTGCATTCTTTCCCCTCATTACATCTTTTCTGTTTTCCTGATTCTCTGTGTTCTTTGTAGTCAGGTGGGGTAGAGTGACGTTCCATTCTCTCGCACGTTAACCTCTGAGAAATCTTAACCTCCTTTCGTTTATTTTGCTTTTCTGTCTTGTTAACCTTCTTGTCACATGGGCACGTAGGGGCTCAAGAGGAGTATGGACAGCTTTTCTCTGCAATGGTTGACCCTTATTTTATATGGACTGTTTGCTTTCGGGGTGAAGTAGGGGCTGTGAGTGAGGGGTGATTGGTTTGTCCCATCACTGGTCTGGTGGCTGGGTTGACATGGGACAGAGGTCTTGATCTGGGTGCCCACCGCCCCTTGCTTGCCAGCTGATTCTTTCCTACTGGGATCCACTTTCTCTAGGTTCTCTTGAGGTTGTTGCTTGTTTGTTCCCTTTCCTCTCAAGATCTTTGTTTTAGCAGGTAGACCCTGCCTGACCAGAGAACTTTCCCAGACTCTTGATTATGAGCTGGTAGGAGGAGGCCAAGTGACTGGCACCCTCAGGCATCCGGGGAGTGGCTGCAGTGCCTACTTTCTCTGTGAGGTTGTGGGGGCATTGTGCTCCAGAGAGTAGCAGACTGCCTCAGTGTGGGTTCTTTGTGCTCTGCTAAATGTAAATGCATTATTGCCTCTGTCTTTTTCTTGTGTTCTGTACACTGATTTCCTCTCTTATTTGCCTCAAGTACTACTGAGCAAGTAGTGGAGACTCAAAAGATGTCTGCTGATTTTGTGATAGCGAGTGATCAATTTTGGATAAGCTCCTCTGTGCTAACTTTGTTTAGTCCAGTGGCTGCATATGTTGTCATTCTCTTCCAAATTTAAGAGTTACTTACCCTCTTCACTCTTTGTGAACTTAGGTTCCTCTAAGTCATTTCATGGTTCGTGTGTGTGTGTGTGTGTGTGTGTGTGTGTACACACTGGGAATGGTGCTCAGGGCCCTGCCTTACACATGCTGGGCGAGTGTTCTGCCAGTGGGCTACAATCCCAGTTCAGTGCTATGTTTTTTAAAGCTTGTAAAAAAAAAAAAAAAAGTTCAGCAACAAGTCTTCTGTTCATAAGGCCAATGATGGCCTCCTTTAGAATTGATCATGCTTTCTGTCAGGTGAAGTAGGTACCTGCTTTTTGGTCCTGTTGTAATTTTGGCTGAAATGGCCATAGAGGCTCAGTCATTGTAGTGGCCTTAATGAAAAGAAATAAAAAGCAAGAGATTTGGTTGGGCACTTCCCTCTCTCCTGAGGTCCACTCTCACCTTATTTAAGTAGATTTAAATTATTTAAACTGGTTTCCCCAGAAAATAGGTAAACAAACTCTGGTGGTTGTCTCCAATCTTTTTTACTTGCTCTTTTCTCCCCCCCCTTTTTAAAAAAAATGTGGCTGATAAGGAAGTGTTTCTGGGCGCTCTTTGATCACATCTGAAACACACACAGAAAAAAACGTTGAAGCATTAAAAATAAACCTTATGTTGCAGAGAGATTGCCTGTTTGCTGTCAACTTTGCTTCTTAACAGTGAAAGTAGGAGATAAAAGAAAGTCAAGCTCTGTCTTTAAGATGATTTTTTTTTTTTTGTGACACCTGATTCTAGATGTGCTTTTTTTATGGTGATAGACTTCTTCCTCTGCAGAAGGAGGATTCTGACCTGGGTCTGGTAGTTTTGGAGTTTCTTAGTCTGTGAGCTGAGCTTTCTGTAAGCTTCTTTTCCAAATGGCTCTGCTGGCCTGGAGGCTTGGCAGCTTTGAAAGCAATCAGCAAGATGACTGTTTGTCTTCTAGCCAGCAGCAACAGTCATAGGCAAGTGTGGAGATGGTCCAGTTTCCAGAGTTCACCTGCCACTGGCTAGCACTTTGGTTAGGCCTTGGGGAAGGTCCACATGGCTTTGGACCTGCCTCACCTCTAGGCCTAGAAATTGAAAGAACTCCCAAAAGAAAATAGAAGCCTCTTGCCACCCATCAGGTTTCTGGCCATTAGACAAGGCATAATGCTGCCCTCACTTTTTTTGGTGGGGAGAGGGGGGTGATGGTCATGGGGCTTGAACTTAGGACCTGGGCACTCTACCTGAGCTGTTTTGCTCAAGGCTCATGTTCTGCCACTTTGAGCCACAGCACCACTTCTGGTTTTCTTGTGGTTAATTGGAGGTAAAATAGTCTCATAGACTTCCTTGCTTGGGCCAGCTTTGAACCATGATCCTCAGATCTCAATCTCCTCAACAGCTAGGATTACAGGTGCCCAGTTGCCCTCACATTTTTAGGGAATAGGGAATGTACATTTTCTCAGAATTCTAGAAAAAGAAGTTTGGAAGATTGATGAAGAGGAAAATCTTAATTTTAGGATGCTATAAAGAACAAATAAGCTTCTCCATGCACATTGTATCCAGTGTCAATCTGGATGCTGCTGCTGTCACCTCCTCCTTCTCCTCTTCTTCTGCCTCCTCCTCCTCCTCCTCCTCCTTTTCTTCCTCTTCCTTTTTTTGTGCCAGTCCTGGTGCTTGAATTCAGGGCCTAGGCAGTGTCCCTGAGCTTTTTTGATCAAGGCTTGTGCTCTACCACTTGATCCATAGCTTCACTTCTGGCTTTTTGGTGGTTAATTGGAGATAAGAGTCTAGTGTTCTTTTCTGCCCAGGCTTCTGATCACTTCTGTACTAAAAAGTTTGTGATGCCCTCTGGGTCAATAACTGGGTTAGCTAGGGTGCCACCTTCCAGCTCTGGGAGCTGTGCTGTACTGTGCTTGGGGTGCTAGCACTGATTCTTTGCTTTGACATGGCAGTGAGGTGGGGGTGGGGTAGAGGTGGGATGAAAGTACTCTTAGATGGGGATGTGGGTGAATGTCTGATCACATATCCTCACTTACCTGCTGCTGTGTCCTAGAGATTTCAGATGAGGTTTGGGTTAAGGGCTCTCAGAATCTGTAGAGTTGCCATGTGTACCCTTTGCACCTGGTAAAAGTAGCCACCTTACACATTGTAATAATGTCTCTCTATGCTTTCTGTGGACTGTAGGATGTAGCTGAACAGATGGAAACAAGTCAGTCATTGAGAATTGGCTTGCTTCAGATTGAAATCCAGTTTGCACAGGGGTAGCTGAATCTTTCAGACTGTGACCAAACAATGGGCTGGAGATTTTTTCAGCATGAATGTCTTAGGCAGAGTGGATGTCTGTGGAAAATTTGTCTGAGAGATTTGCATGATGAGATCTCTTTGGGAATCAGAACTTCTCTGGCTAGACTTTTTCCCCTTTGGACAGAACAACCCAATTCTCAGTGGACATTTGACCAGGACTAACCCAGGCCTTCATGAACTCTTTCCCATTTTGAGCACTTAGCCACCTGGCTGGCATTTCTCTTCCCTCAGGAGCTTCCATGACGTTCCTATATATGTATTATGTCTATTCAAATGAATATTTTA